TTTCAAATGAACAAAAAAAGGTACTATAGCGTGATAACGAATGACGTTAAAAATGTTCTCTCCAAATTGAAACTGAATATCGTCAAAACTCTAACTTTTACAGTGGAAGCCATTTTGAAAAACACCATTCTGAGAAAAACGCCTTTAAAGATTTGAGTCCCTATGTTCCCCATTCTGTTCCCTTTCTACAAGAAACGTTGTTTCTACCGTAATAATTAGAATTTCGATTCAATTTGAAAGAATGTTTATTATAGTGCATGCTATCTGATAATGCAACAAAAATAAAATAAATAAATTTTTCTAAAATTTCACCTGAGACTATACCTTAATCGAACAATCGCGTGTCTCAGTACACTGTTTTTTATATTTTTACACCGATCCGCATCATACCAGTCGTAAAGTAGTTTGCAACTAGTTAAGTACCAATATGAGCACAAAATCTCAAATTTCTTGGCATATATGACTATCATAATTCACTTGAAGCCATGCAAATGCGCATTCAACTTGTCGAAATGCCAAGCTGTAAACTCTTTTGTGAATTGCTCATAAGTGTCTGCATAATGTATCCTTAAAAGAACAGACATGTATGACCAAGAGGGTGTGGAAACAAAGGACTGAATTGGATAATCCCCACTCAAGTATTTTAAAGGCAAAGAAACAAAGGTGCAATCAATGGATCTGAACTGCTCAGATGAATTCTCAAGTGCGGAACCTCCTATGGAAGAGGTCCTGCATGCATATATATCCATGCTATATCCTCGGAGCCTGTGGTAATCTTGTTGGAAAGTGCCGACTGATCCCTTTGTACAACTTTGATCGCAGAATATTTGTAATTTTGTCCTTTTTGTGTATGGCCACCTAATTTGCAAATTTTACCCCTGCAGAAAGGCACACAAAGGCATTTGAACGGTAAATGAAAATTCGGTTATTGTTTCTTTGTTTTCCAGTGACATCCAAGCAAAACAAATCTGCTATGAGCATCCTTTGTAAGTTGTTGTCAAAATATGCTGGTATTATGTTGGAGATATTGTAGTAAGACGACTAAGCGTGCATACTGGCATATGTACATACAAGTATCTATGCAAAATAGAAAATAAAGGTAAACAGCAAAGTACAGCTCTCTGGATGTGCAAATGAAAGTTATCAGCGTAAAAAAATGAATTAATTGTAACATATATTTTTAGTCAAAGGCATAACTCGATACAAAATAACACAAAAAAAAAACAGGTCATTTAGAAAATACATATACATATGTACGTGGTTTATTTTGGGTACCTTTGGTCGAGTTATACATATGTATTACCTGACCTTTTGACAAAAGAAATCCTTCGTTACTCAAATTGTGGCAGTAAGTCTCAATTTTCGTCATTTTTTAACACGGTACACAATCACGAAATAATAATTAAATTAAATTATAGAGCACCGAGACGTGATAGGAGAAGGTTAATGAATCAACAGTCGATGCAGTTATCGATTGAACCATTCTCACATTAGGGCAGTATTCATTCGCGCACTCATGTGTGGTCTATGCTCTGTCTTCACTTGAATCTAATAGATGCTCAATTTCATTACTTAATGAAACAAAAAACTCCAATAATCGTTAGCAAAATATTAATTGTCGTTTTTCATTTCATTTATTTCATTTCTTGTGCGACACTTGTAAGTCTGTTGCTCCGCTGTTGGAGGATAATAATATTTCAGCACCTCGAGTTTCGGTGTGTTCTTTGTTCGCATCCGATTTTAGGTGCGTGTGGTTTCAAACCTGTCCGCCTGTGTTTCTGTTGCAAAGGTTGCCGTCAGTGCGGCATTATCAAAGGATCCGAGTAACAATTATTGTGACACAGCACTAATTATCCTCTCGGTTATTGTGTGTAGATGTTGTTGTTAGATAAAACTGTCAACGGCAACTCTCAGTGCAAAGTCTGCGTTTGGGAGTGGCGCTTCATCCTATAATTGCTCTTTCTCTATTATGTTCTTTACGACTTAAAGATTTTTTGGTGCTTTCTTTTGTGGTAAAATAATTATTTGGTATAAAATTCTCATTTTCCGCCACATTCTCAGTATTCACATGAGAATTTTTTTCTCCTCATTGCTAAATTGATTACTTCAAAATAAAATTTTACAAATGTATATACATATATGTATGTACATATGTATATATGTATATGTATATTCGTTTGATGAGTTTTAAACTGGAATTTTATTTCAAACACACAAGGTTAATGTTGAGAAAAAAGTAGATACTTTTCAAATATTTTAATCAAATTCAAATTTATGCCGAGCATTTGATGTTCCTTTTTTTCGCCAATAAAGCAGATTATGTGCAATTATTCTGCTTTTTAAGATTAACCAACGGCGTCACAAACCACAAATATTTGCGAGAAAACAATCCAAAGCCGACGGCAATTTTAGTTAGGCGCACTCGTGGAAACCCACAGTCCCCACACATCTCCAAAAAGTAGATATGTTTGTAAAATAATATATAAGTATGGCTGCACCTAAATTGGTTATTTAAAGGTTCTAGAAAATGGCAATCGTTTAGTTCTAAATGCGATCGTAAGTATTATAATTGCTAATTTAATTGTGTTAATATTTTGATGCCAGAAGCAATGGCGCACACAAGACCAGAGTATATGTGTGGGTAAGCGTGTATATGCAGTTATGTGTCTACACATGTGTGTATCCAACAAAACGCTCCGGGCGTAATAGAGCAGCAAATGTCTGAGCAGAACGTATAGCAAATTGTGTGTACGGACTCTCTTCAAATTTCTCAGTAATCTATTTATATTCCGCACTGCCGTACCGACTGTTGCTAATGTGTAAGCAACGTTCTCGCGCAATGCATACCCTAAGAAAATAAGAGCATTTTCTCTTCGAAATTAGCCTTTTGCTCTCTCGGTGCTGCAGCTAACCGACAACTTCCAAATAAACAAATTTTCAGCTATTTTGGTCGCAACCAACAGTGACAATTCACAATATCACTACTGCTAAGTGGCTAAAGGAAGGAGGCAATTGCGTGTAGCAGATCTCGTATGCTCGTCGGCAATCGGTGGGCGGTCTGGCACACCGATTACATTGTTATCATTTTGTGTTTTTGTTGTTTGTTAGTATGTGGTTGCACATTAGGCGACACGAAATTTATAGTGTCACACATATGAAAAAAGAGACCGAATTATATTGGCTGTGGACCTTGTACAGCGAATACAACTTATTGATCCAACGCCAGTGGCTGCAAGCGAGAAAGGGAAAACTGCTGCACAGTACCTCCGACTCGGGCCAAATGGCGATGTGTGGTTGCGGTTGCGACGATGGAGACGATGTTGGCTATGTGACGACGACACAAACATCAAAGACAGCTGCATAGCCAGCGACGGTGGGTAAAGTCGAAACACTGGTCCCTACATGCAGACCATTCACTAGCCATGAGGCTTCTCGTGCTGCCGATATATAATCAATACTTGCGTATATGAATGTCTATGGATTTATACATAGGTATGTATATAGATTCAAGTACATACATATGTAGTTAGGTACAGGCGAATAATAGGTGAGTACTAAGTAGTAAATCCCGAATCTAATCGAAGTTTTTCTTTAGTGTTCTTCTAGGCTATTTACCTTACATGTACGAATATGTTTATATGAATCATATCTGCAAACATACCTGCATATGTATATAAAATAATTAATTAAATAAGAGTTGTCGGAATAATACAACCATTCATATTTGATAATCATTTGATAAAGACCCGAATATGGTCTTCACCTACCACACAATATTTGATTTTTATATTGCATAAAATAAACTCTTGGGATTGAATTTGATACAAAAACCTGAGCTTTTTCATGACAAGCATCGCAAATATTAAAAGGGAAGCAAAACAAATTATATTTTCAGCTTTGTTATTTAACTATACTCTTATATACAACGGTTGTTTCGCTTCTAGATCCAAAAAGGTATACTTATATTTTATTAGTGTATTCAGTTAAATCCAAAAATACGGGCACCATTGTCAAGTGCATTTTAGTTTTTATTGAAGAAAATAAAAAAATTGAAGAAATACACTCTTTTAAAATGTATAAAAAAGATTTATATACAAAATTTTAGCAATGTGTGTGTGCAGCAAAACGCTCTTTTCTCATTTGCTGTTTTCGCAGCGCTCTCTTCGTTGCCTCCTCGTTGTCAGGCCTAAACTCATGTTGAAACTCTCAGCCTCAGTCAACGTTGGCGTTCGCTGCTGTTCGTGGCTGTGGCTACGTTTGTGGTCAGAATTGTTGTGATAAATAAATGTGGATGTGGCTAGGGCTGCGGCTTTTCTGCCGCTCCAATCGACCCCTCACCAGTCACCCAACAACACAGAGTGTATAGATTGAGGCACAGTTGGAGATGATATGGGTTAGCTTTCGCTGTTGGCTCATTCGAATGGCTGTTTCGATGGTCGCACTGCACAGCAGTCTGGTCGTCCATTACTGTATTGCCAGTAGTCACTCCAGTGGCTTGCGACTCGCCGACTCGCCAGTTCGACACCGAATGTACGCGCTCCGCTGTCTGCGTTACTCAACCACCAAAAGGCGACCACAAAGACTATCAGACATCAGAACGACGTAGCAGTCGAACTCCAGCAAAAAGTAAAAAACACCCGTTCGCTGTGAGTCTTCACGGCACGATACGTCACCGCGCTGTTCACACAGATACAGATAGCTAGCCAGGCAGATACAGTACGGTACGGAAGATACGGTAACGAAGCGCTGTTCGCATTGTGGCCTGGTGACGACGTTCGAAACGATTTACCGTCGCTAAAACACAATCGCTCTTTGGTGTTTCGAAAATATATATTTCATAAAAATTCAATACGATTTTGTTGTGAAAAAGTGTAAATATAAGCAATTCATTAAACTACAGAAAAATAGCGTTTTAATGTGCATACAAGTTTATTTGTTTGTGATAGAAACATCATTTTTTGCTGAATACAAATTTTTTAAAAGAAAATGTGTTCCAAAAATTTAATTCCAAAAAAGTTGTGTAAACGAATATTTAAAAAAACACATCATCACATGGAGCACCATTACCATTACTAGAATTCATACTATTCTAGCTCACCATATGAACAACAAAGTGCAAAATACATTGAAGCAGCACAGAAAAAACGTCCCCTAAAAAGACACCAATAAAGCCCGAGAACGTAACCAAACAGCACTTACATAAGCAAGCGGCCGAATGGAGCTCATCACTCCTTGCCAGCGACATTTTAAAAACGACCAACGACAACTCCTGCAACGGCGGCAACAAAGTCACACTCCCTACCACCCACCTCCTCGGCGTCAACAACATACGCCAATGGCGACGCTTTCCAGTCCTCACCAACTTCCTACCGCCAACGTCGGTCGTCTTTGTCAATTCTTAGTTTTTGCCTCCGTGTTGGTTGGCGACTCTTTTGCATTTCTCAGCCTTGTTGTTGTTACTCTTGATTAGGTGGTGGTGTGATGTGGGTTTTTTATTCCTTTACTCGCTGCTCAGCCGCTGCGCTGCCGCCGCCACTGTCACTGCTGCTGTCGCAGTTGTCGCACTGGCATTTTTATGGAGTTTTTTCGTCGTCTCTCTTCGTAATTTTGTCGTCCAGTGTCATTGGCTGAGTCGTATTCGCCGATGTTTGTGTTGTTTTATTGTTGTGTTTTAGTAGGTGGATATATGGCAAAGCCCTTGTCGGGCGCTGAACATTGGGATCTGGTAGCCGTGTTATGGGTGTTATGTATTTCAGTTTCGTGAATAGGCAGGGTGTGTATATGTGTTTGAGTGAGGTCTTATAAGAGTGCGAATGCGGGCAATTTGCATCCATGTGTGTGCGCACATGTGTGTGTTTGCAGGCGTGCTGAACAAATATATGGAGGAATATGCAAGCGCCTGTGTGTGGTGGTGAAGCATTTGCCAGTGCCACTGAGTGTATGTGTGTGCATGTGTGGGTCTCGGCGACTCTGGTCGGGTATTGTACAAAAGTCGCAAATTCAATGGCGACACAGCAGCGAAGATGACAACGACAACGACAAATTGGCGACGAGAATAAGAACGACGAAACGATAATGTTGCCGATGACCGCCGTATTTGTTGTTGCACTTGTTGTTAATAATGCCTGCTGGCAAGTTTTCGAGTTTCGCTTCCAACTACGGCAGTGGCGTGCAGAATTCCGCGAAGTATTTAATAAACCGAAATTAAACAAATACTAACTAATAAGAACCAGAAGTTTGCTAATTTTCTCTTTTCGATAACCGCAGCCACATGCTGAGAACTGGAAATATAAAAAATATTGATAATAAGCCTAGAATAAAGTGAAAATCAATCTAAAACTACATTGAAATGAAAGTACACACAAAGCCATGTATGTATATACATACATATAATATATAAAAATGTGTGCATATACATATGTTCGCTTGGCTTTCGGATATAGATCTACTGCTGACGCTTCATTTGAAAATCTCAGTGCTGTGATTTGATTAGTTTTTTATTGAAGAAAATAATAATAATTAGAAAAAGAATAACGTTATCCCGCTAAACTGGCAACTAATGCCACAGTACTGAAGCTCAGCGATTATTGTGTTGAAAAGTGAAAACAACTGAAACAGCTCAGCAGCGGAATTCCGTTTTCTAACATTGCTCAACTTTGGAGATATAAACACGGGTTCCTTGAACAGGTGAGCTGACGTTCTTAATAGCCATAAGTAATTACCTAGAGCTAACTTAACTAAGTGAATGTGGGATAACGGTAGTTTGACAGCGTGACAAAGAATTTGAAAACACCTTCTCCATTGCCGAGTTCAAAGGTTAGAAATTATTATGCAATAAAGCACTGCATCTGCTGGATAATTCGACAAAAATAACGTTTGCAACAACAGTTCTATTAGAACGCACACACATATACATTCCCATTTGCACTAATAAAAAGTGTGTTGCATTATTTGCACACTATTTGATTGCTAGTGCAGTAATTAATTTAGTGTTGCGTGAAATTTACAAAATTTAATTGTGCAATTATATGCGTTTCCACCGAACAATGCTCAATAAATTTTTACGGCCGACATTCGGAGTAGGGAATCAAATCGGCTATACATACCCGAAAATTTTATTTATAAATTAAAAAAGCAAATCGTGTAATATCGAAATAGCACACAAAAACAATATATGCAAACAATGGAATTTCGAATTAACAGTACATACATACTCTAAATAAACGATTTATTTAAATAATACAAGTGCACATTACTTTCCGCGATCCACTATTTTTTACACAACTCATCGATTAGATTTCCGAATAATTTGTGTGTCATAAAAGGCAAATACTCGTTAATAAAATGATCGTCCCTATTTCAACCTGCGCACCACCCCGTATTTTCCGGTATAGGAAATCGATAGCTCTCGAACGTTGCAAGCAAAAGCTGTGGACTACACACACATATGTCCCAATGCATACAGGCATAGATTGTAATTAGTTTTGTAAAATTCGCATGCGATTTACGTTTACATACATTCATACATACATATGTGCATATGTATGTGCCTATGTGTATGCAAGCGGAATAGTTCTGTGCCGGTGGAAATATTTTATTTGTTGTAATGTGTTTGTTTGGCGAGCAAACACACCGACCACATATATGTATTTACAATAATTTCACACCGTTACGCCTCGCAATTCATATTTGCTCATTTTTTAAGTTCACGCTAATTAAATGTCAAAGCTAATTATTGGTGCTGAAACGCAGTCGTTTTTTGCATAACTAGCCAATAGATGACCTATTCGAAATTTCACACGAATACAAATGTACATATACATATGCATATGTATGATCGCAATTTAAACGTAATGTTGTAATGTTTCAAAGTAATGAACTCGCTGTGGTTGTTTATGTTGTGTGAAGAACCAGAAGCACAACTGCAATAGAACACTGTTTGGCAATCAAACTCATTTAGGTTAATGTGCATATGTATTTATCCCAATTTTGCTTTCTTATAAGGGAAATCCGGATGGCTGGTTCCAGATTTATAACGGAGTTTAACTGAGAACTGATTTTCCCTTTCATAAAAATATTTAATATAAAAATATGCTTAAGGCCACACTTACTGAGATGTGTACCAGATAAAAATATTTCTCTGTCTAAGATCATAATATGACCGTATAACGAAAAGCAAAACAATAAAAGTAATTAGCAGTTAACAGAAACATTAATGTAAGCCACCTGAAGTGCTCTATAAAGAAACATTTCAAGAAATGCAAGCGCCATCGCCGGCGTGTAACTACAATATATGTGGCTTGGCCTCGTGGAAAATGTCCAAAGTTGTGAATTTGTTGGATTTTTTCGACGCAGACAAAAGTTTATGAATTTAAAGTAACTAAATCAGCCCCATCAGAGTTCCCACACGCATGTAAGAAGGGCCAAATAGTTAGAGTTATATTACGGTGGGAACACACAATCATTAAAATGAACGCGCGCGTCGCAAATTAGCCTCGTTTCAACTAACCGTCCTACCACAAAATAAGAGAAAAGCGCCGCAGACAACAATTAGAAGTGTTTTTTATGAAACTGACGCCATCATGAAATAACGAAAATAAGAGTATTTTATTTCTCCACCTTAGTAAGATTTCTACATGCAACATATCTAAATAATATGCTACCTGATTAGACAACAGCAGTATTGATTTATATTCGACAAGCCAAATCCAGGACTCCCAAAAGTTTTGCAAAATCCTTTACTGCCATTCACATGCACTTTTTTATATACGACATATGAGTGTATGAGTGTTTTATATGTACTATATACATAGGCTCTGATTTTGCAATCAGTCACTATAAACACGATTTTGGCCCGTTTTTACCATCAGCTGAGGCAAGTATGAGGAAAAGTGCCTGAGCTGAGAGAAAGAGAAATACGTTGTCATCTAAATGTTAACAATGAAAGAAAAAAGAAAAGAAGTTCAAATAACAATACAAAAACATTCAGTACTGAATTCCTTTGATACTCAAATATATTCTCACATATGTACATATAAGTTACATTACTTCGATAATGTAAGTGCTTCCTACTATAAGGGCTCTAACTAAACGTTGCAGGTAAAGGAAAATAGACGAGTTGATATCTGTCACATCTCGTAAGCTACAAGCGAATAAGCCGATTGCACTTCATACTAAATTGTGAAAATCAGTTAAACCTTATCACACATCCCTCATAACGCTTATGTTAGAGGCTGTTAAAAGACCTATAACTCTGAATAAATATCACCAGACATTCTAAATTAGTTTTAAGTATGTATGTATGTATGTAGCTTCTTGTTTTAGATTTCTACCGTAAAAGTACAAAATAGATATCTTCTTATGCAACATTAATCCTCATATATTGGGAAAGCTGTTGGCCATATTTAATTTATTAGGCTGCAAATGGTATCGAAACACCTGCTTGCAAATAGTCAACACCGCAATTGTTGAGGTATTCTGCCAACAACACTGCACATGCAACATGCCACCTACAATTTTCACGGCCATTGCTAAGCGTGGTGATCCCAAGCTAAGCGGGTGCCTCGGCAAAAAGTCGTTTTATCGCAATTATTCGCACATCGAGTGACGCTTCCAGTGGCGCAGCTTATCCAACAAAGCTTGCAGTTTGCCTTGTTTATCAGCTATTAAGTAGTAAAACGTTGCCTTCCTCTCCGTTACAACGATCTCATAAAATATACCTACATACATGCATACACACATACACATATACAAACACGCATATGCATACATGTAAATTGATAATAATTCAGCTGTTGTTGATGCCATTCGACTTTGTGCATCGCAATTCGTATGCATCTTGATAGCACCGGCAAATTAGTTATCGCAAATGGGTTGAACCGGGCTGCGACTTTTTCCCGCTCCAAGCAACCCACCGCCCTCTCCGCTAGCAAACTTGAGTATGCGCTCGACAACTTTTTTGATTCGCGCTTTAGCTGAGATTAGCCGGCATAATGATGATGTGTCACAACCTTTACGTGTCTACACGCTTGCTCTTACGTACTTAGAAAAGCATGAACGTAGTTCGAGTATTTAAGTGCTTGTAGCAGCAATCAAATACAACTGTACGTGTTTCTATTCGCCTTGCTATGCAACACGGCGTGGTTGTGAATGTGTGCCTTGGATGCCTTGTATGCCGTTGCGTGTATTTCTTTTGTGGATAATCGCACGAAACTCAAGCAATTTCACAAACTAATTAAAGCTTCTCCACTTTCCATACCCAACTACTTCATTTATTAGATCTGAACACCCTGTATTGTATTTTTTATGCGCGAAAACCCGCTAAATTCTTGAAAATTTTTAATCATATACATATATACGCAGCATTAAGTTTGCCACGAAGTTTATAACATCCGGAGGTAAACTTCGGGAATCCTTTAAAGTATAAATGTGTAAAAACGACCCGGAGGAAGAGCTGAGGCCCTTAGATTCATGTCCGTCTGTGTATACGAGAACTAGTTCCTTAGTTTTTGAAATATCGATCTGAAGTTTGCACACGTTTTCGTCTACCAATGGCCCTTCCCACCTGTCGCAATCGCATATATCGGACAACTATGTGTCATATAAAGTGACCCCTCAAATTCAAATGCTTGCATGGAAAACTTTTTATTTGCCAATGCATCAGCACAAAATTTAGCAGAGATTATTATTCAATGTTGCCAAATTCAACTGAGGATTTAAATCTATATGCTTTATACAATTTAAATAATAGAAATATACTGTGTATGATGAAGCCGTTAAGTACCATATAATCCCTTAATAAAAAACACATTCATGCATATTGCTTTACATATGTATGCATGTATATAATGTTGGTCCCATCTGAAATTCCCACTCCGCTCAAAACATACATATGTATATGCGTATATATGAATAAACATAAGTTAATGGGCTTAAATATACTTAAGAAAATTTATACATATTTGTTGGAAAGAGTTGCCACAAGTCAGAGGTATTATAAGTATTAATTTCTGTTCGATTCTTCATGAACGTCTTCTCGGAGTACAGCATGGGTAGCTATTATATACCAAAAACTGATAAATATATGTTAAGTACTAATTGAAATAAAAGTACCAGCAAATTAAATCAAGTGCTAAGCTAAAAGCCCAACGGTTAGAGCTGTCAGATTTGTATTTCTTTTATCACAGTTGGCAGTATTTACTTCATTTCTTGACTTCTACTTGCTAAACCGAAAAGTTCTGCTTCCGATCACACTCAAAAAAAAAACAAAAACGGGAGTTTAAGTGGATACACATATGGCAGAAGATACTTTTAGAGTTGCTTAGTGTTGACTAAAAAGGACAACAGAGGAACCCCACTTCTGTCACTTTTAGGGAGTGCTTTTCTTAGTCACATGTTTTGATTTAGTAAACATTGGGATTTTTACAGCAGAAATGCACTTAATATGAATTTATGCAAGCACTGCATTCCTCCGATTATTCTTTGAAAATCGCTCATCGTTAGGATTGCGATGAAGCTCAAATGGAAACACGCAAACTTAATATTACAAAAAAAAAAATAAACAATTCTGCATATGTAATATAATTTCCAAAGGTAACAGTAAAACTTTATAAGAAATTAAGGACAAAGCAGCGGTGTAGCGGATGGCCATCTGAGTGTTCGTGAAATGAGGGGCTGTTGGTAATAAC